AAGCCCCGACGGCCCTTGAAGAACTTCCACCAACTCAAGATCAAGCCCCGACGGCCCTTGAGGAAAGTGTTCATCGTTCATCATCCGTTCAATTCAAGATCAAGCCCCGACGGCCCTTGAAGAACTTCCACCAACTCAAGATCAAGCCCCGACGGCCCTTGAAGAAAGTGTTCATCGCTCATCATCCGTTCATCCTAAGATCAAGCCCCAACGGCCCCTTTGGATCAACAACCTCAACAAATCCACACATCCGTTCATCCTTCAAGATTAAGCCCAGAAGCCCTTGAAGATCCGTTCATCCTAAGATCAAGCCCCAACGGCCCCTTTGGATCAACAACCTCAACAAATCCACACATTCGTTCATCCTTCAAGATTAAGCCCAGAAGCCCTTGAAGATCCGTTCATCCTAAGATCAAGCCCCAACGGCCCCTTTGGATCAACAACCTCAACAAATCCACACATCCGTTCATCCTTCAAGATTAAGCCCAAAAGCCCTTGAAGATCCGTTCATCCATCAACCTTCAAGATCAAGCCCAACGCCCCTTGAAGATCCATTCATCAGCTGTGCATCCTTAGATCAAGCCCCGACGGCCCTTTGGATCAACAACTCATCCACAAACCCACACCCTACGAAGATAGAATCAGAGGACCAAATTACAAAGAGATTGTAACCCCAAAATCATTAATACAAAATATTATTTTGTACACGTATTCTTGTCGCTTGTTTCAGGAATTTCTCGTGTTTACAGAGTGGCTGGCCATATTTGGAGAATAGTGGCCGGCCATATATGGTGTAATTGGATGAATAATTGCAAGATATTATGTGAAACAATATCTTGCAATTAACATGGCAATTAATCATAATTTAAATAGGAAATTTGGGAGTTACCTTTTGAATATAGATTTGATGAGGAATGATGAGAGAGATTAGAATGACTATCATTTTGATCACGTTTGTCTCTTCCTTGATTGAACGGTTATTGTCTGTTGCATGCACATGGGAATCCCAGTATGCCTTGTGGGTAATTTTTTCTTTAATCCAAAAATCCACGTATCACCTCCATAATTTTTTTGATTATTTTTTGCTCCACAATAGTGTTATGGTTTCTCTATAATAAACGTGCCTATCTTTTCTACTCTGTATCGTGCATCCTGCTTTATGTTTTATTAGAGACGATGCGGTTGTAGCTTGGTTAAGCATTCTTTGTACTCGAGGTTTCAAAATCAATTCATCACTCTCTTGATATCACTACTTTGGACGCAAGATTATAAGATGTACGTGATGATATCACTAACATATATGTGAGCGTACATGAACCGTTGGGCTCAATACATGGTTTACTTGTGGGGTCATTTAAGCCTTACACATGAACAAGAGCACGTGGGCCACAATAGTAGCACACCAAATCGTAAGTCTCCAGCAAACCACTATAATTCTTCTATAACTTTGATCAAGGAAAGTGCAGATGTCCTAAGCTCAATGAGCTTCAATAAAATGGATAGCAGCACTTGATCTTCGGTTGAGGCCGTCAGTGTTAATGACTTTGGAGCTGAGGGTGATGGAGAAACTGATGACACAAAGGTAATTAATTACATACAAATGATTATATATAGTTGTAACAAGAAGATAACAATAACAGTAGGGTTAGTCTACAGTACTCTTTGGTTTAAGAAAGGAACAAAACTTTATGTAACTACAAATGCAGTCCGGATCAAAGTGTGGCAGGTAGTGTTTCAAAAACACTTCAATTCATTAGATGTACAATATTGAGCTTTGAGTTCAAAGTACAAACAAAAACCAACAAGGTGATATATGCAGGGATGGTCAGGAAGTGCAAGCAACATCAGATTTGAGAACATAGAAATGCATAATGTACAACCCCATAGTTATAAATATAGACCAATATTGATGTGACAAAGAGAAACTGTGCAAAGAGATGAGCAGTCAAGTGAAAAATGTGGTGTACAAAAACATGTTTTTTTTAACCGAGTAGCACAAGTTATTTAGAGCATGTTTGGTACTCTACTTGAATCCAACTTTTTAAACTCAGAAACAATTTTTAAGTTGTAGGCCTTAAAAACTTGTTTGGTAGGGGATTATTTTTAAAAATTGAACTCAAGACTAACTTAAAAATATAGTATATTCTCTAAAAACATAAAAAGTGAGTTACTAGAGTTTTTAAACTTAAAACTCACTCCTTTCTTTTCTCTCACTCCTCCCCTCTTACTCCAAATCTATATCTCTCTCTCTCTCTCTCTCTCTTTGCTTCTTTCTCTTTCCTTTTTTTTTTTTTTTTTATTCACATTTTTCATCTCTCCTCCAATCCGATTCATTCTCTCACTCTTCTTTCTCTCTATCTCGTCCGATCCTCTCCCTCCTTTCTCTTTCCTTCAATCATCTTTTACTTTCTTTCCTCTTCTCTCCTCTTTCTCCCTCTTATGTGACCCGCTTTTTTTAGATCTCTTTGTCTAGTTTAAGTCGTAAGATTTAAAAATTTTAAATCGCAAACCAATCAAGTTTTTGAGTCTTAAAGAAAATTGTTTTCAAGAAATGTTTTGAAAAATGATAAAAAATTTCAAATAGGATACCAAATAAGCCCTTAGATGTTGCTATAAAATTCAACTGCAGCAAGAGCTTCCCTTGTCTGGGAATTGTGTTGCGGATATTAACCTTGAATAAGAAGGAAGGAAAACAACTAAAGCTCTATAAAATTCGATTGCAGCAAGAGCTTCCCTTGTCTGGGAATTGTGTTGCGGATATTAACCTTGAATAAGAAGGAAAGAAAACAACTAAAGCTCTATAAAATTCAATTGCAGCAAGAGCTTCCCTGTTCTGCAAGAGGATAAACAAATAAAAATATTGTGGCAATTATAATTTAGAATGCTGTTTGTTTCGAGGATTGTATACGGCAGGCATGGCATTATGCTGGTCATGACTTGCTTTATGAAACGGTCGGAATAAAATGTTTCCATATTTTGAATGAAATGGATTTCATGCTGGCAGAATATTTACTACTGATGGAATGATTATAAAAGTGGACTGGGTCACTACATCTGCTAACAGTGGCCTAGTGCAACGGTCACATACAACTTTTTCTCCCATTCAATACGAGTACATACATGATTTGTTATGTGTATGTTTTTCTCATTTCCATTAACTCATCAAGTTTTTCTCTTGCGTAACATCATTTTATTGTACTAACATCATAGTATGAATCATTCATACTCTATCATTATTTAAATCATTTCGAAAAGTTTCCATTTAATTTGAGAACGTCCACTATAGGTATAGAACTTATAAAAAGTTATAGTAACAAGTAATATATTAATGACTAAATGTCAAATAAAGGAAAGAATTAGTAAGAGAGTTGTAATAGTTAGTCTAACTCAGACCGTCCGAGTAATTGTTAAGAAATTTTGTGCCTCACGTGTTTCACTTAAATTGGGATTTGTGATTTAGTGTAGGTTCTTCATATATGTTGAGCTTTTGTTGCTAATTGTTAAAGTGTTTATATATAGGTATTTTCATTATATTAAGATTGAACTTAAGTGATTTTTGTTGTATATATTTGCATTGCATGTTTGTTTCTTGCTTTTGTTGTATGTTTTGTATGTATTTTGATGGACAATGTTCATTATTTCCCCCTTAATAGGTGCATATTTGTTACTTATTTTCAAAATGTACTCATATCATCGAGTTTTGTTCACCATGATTTCACTTATGCCCAGTATGTTTTTATATGTATATGTATTTTAGCGAGGATGTGGGAAACAATACTAGGAGGCTCTTATAACAAGTTACGTAGCTTAGAATTATAGTCCACCCGAGAAAAAATCGTTGGCTCCATTCCTGGTTTTATTCATATAGATTATTAAATAATCTCTAAATCGAACAAAGTTTTCTAAAGATAATATATAAAGAGAATGAGCGATTTCGATTATGATACTTGTACAATTAAATAATGTTAGATTGTCTTATAAGAGAATAATTCTCATATGTAAAGAACTAAACAAGTGTCCTAATTATTATATGGTTGTCAAACTTTCTTAGGTGACACCACATTAGAACCCAACTAGTTATTCTATTTGAGAGAGAGAGAGAGAGAGAGAGAGAGAGATAGAGTCCTCAGCATATATAAGAGAAATATGCTTTGGCAACAAAGAAAAATGGTTTATTGGTTCTTGGTTCTCGGGGTCGCATATGGGACATTAACATGTGATACCACTAAGGACAAATTGGGAAGAGAACTCATATTATCTCTTTTCAGCTTCAGGATCACAGAGCAAACAAAACGCACCACTGACATGTGAAAATCCTCAATGTTCACATATGTCAAGTTTCAAGACAGTTCAGCCCTCATCCATGTTTTACAAAAAAATAAAAAATCTTTCAATGATTTATGTTGTGTTAAAGGGATAAAACGACAAGGATAATTCTTGAATTCTTCTTTTAGGGATGAAATTCTTTCCCTACTTACTTATAATGTATCTTCATAAAAAATAAAAAAATAAAAAAACTTTCATAATTGGAAGGGTTCAATCTTCTAATATGTATTTGAAGATTATTTCTACAAAAAAATCGTTCGAATCGAATATCGTTTAGTAATCTAAATTTATAAAAATAGAAGACTACAAAAAATCATTTGAATCGAATACTGTTTAGTCATCTAAATTTATAAATTAAATCAACGGTTCACCATGAATATGCTATTTAGTATCTATGTACACCATCAATTTATTTATTACATTTGGATGACTAAACAATATAGGATTCAAATAATTTTTGTAAGAATGATCTTCAAATGAAGATTAAGAGATTGAATGTTCCGATTATGAAATTTTTATTGTGAAAATATATTATTTACAAGTGGAAGAATAAGTTCATCCCGCTAAAGAAGAATACAAGTATTATCAATATTGATCTTCTTCACTTCATCCGATCCAATGCCCGAAAGTTAAAAAAGTGTGTGAGAAGTAAAAAATAGTGTGTGGATATCACACCTCCTAAAAGAAAATCAAAAGCTAAGAAAAGTAAGCAAACGATGAGAAGTGAAATAATAACAGAACGAAGATCCAAAGTACCAAAAGAAAGAGTGCTACCTCTCTCTCTCTCTCTCTCTCTCTCTCTCATTACTCCATTGCATCACTTGGTTTTTTTCATTTTTACCATTTTCATACCTTCGTTTATAGTCCCATTTTCTCAGTCTAAGCCTTTAGCACCTGTTAATTTCATGGTCCCATTGTTCATGTTCATGTTGATGTTCATGGGGATTCCAAAGGCAAGGCTGCTAGACAATCAGCTTCCACCACCACAAATTTGGACACCGCCCGCAATAGTGGTGGACGCAAGCAGTAGCAGCCGCTACACGCATACATCAATCGAGACACTGGTGGTGGTTTTAGCAGTGATCACAATAGTAGGTGTGATTGCAGGGATTGTAGCTCGGTTATGTGGTGGAAGGCATCTTGGTGCTGAGCATGATATTGAAGGATGGGTTGAGAGCAAGTGCAGGAGTTGTATTGATGGTGGAGTTCCACTGGAACCTTCCCCTGCAGCACCACAATCCAAGCCAGCTGCAACAACGGAAGAAGCAAAGAAGTGAAATTATATGGATCACACCATAAATTATATATATTTATATAATTATAAGAGGCAGCAGAACTACTACAAGAAACTAAATTTAAAGGTGAGGTGTAATCCCATGCTCATTTGTTAATCGTTAATCATAGGGAATATATATGGGCTTATTACCATTCACTATATGTGCTTGATGAGGGTAACATAGTTTTATTGTACGTAAGAGTAGGAGCTGTACTACAAATTTAGTAGAGAGGGTATTGAGTTTTTACCCATGCGTCACAAGGTTGAAACTTCCTTGCCTACTAAATTATTGTAATAGTTTCGAACCACTTTTTCCTCCGTAATAATAATAAATTAAAAACAAATGTGTAATGATATTACTTTGCTTTTCAATTAAACATTTACTTTCATTCCTCTAGTTCCATACCATTGTTGTTCAATTTATTGTCTTCTTTTATTAATCTAATTTTTAGAGTAAAACTACTTGAGATTTATAAGACTTACACTCTTCAATACAAGGGACCTTCATATACCATTGTAAAATCCACTTTTATTAGAGAATATTTTAATACGTATGTCATTTTTGTGTGAACTTCAATTGTAATGTGATTTTCGTCCTCCCCGACCCCATAAAGTGAGCTTCCGTTGTAATGTGATTTTCGCCCTCCCCGCCCTCAAACCCTAAACCATTTTTGACGAATAGGTTACTTTTATGATAAGATATCATAGCTTTCAGCACTACCTGATCATGGTTGGTTCCTTTAGCCACAGGCATGGATCTCTTTACCACCTTTTCAGTAACCAAATGCTTTTACAACGTCCTTAAACGGTTTAAAAATGAAGAATTCTTCAAATATTTTACAGAAAATGATAGTGCAGGATTTAATTTCACACCATCTGACCGTTGCTTTTCAAAAGCTGATATAAGCATGCATGCTAAAGTTCCAAAACATCTTTTTAACTGCAAATTTTCCAATATCCAACCGTTTCAAGGGTTAATTTGTCACTACGGCCCTATTTTCTTACGTCAGTGATGATGTTGACAATCCATACTAGGAAGGTAAGTGGTGTTTTTTTTTTTCATTAATTTTGTTAAACAATAGATTTGTTAGATTAAGTAGTCGACGAGACTCGAATTTACATTATAGTACAAAGGTAATGTTCTCTACCACTGTGGTAGGTGGTTACTTTTGTTTTTTTTCATTAAATTTGAAAGGAAGTGTTTATATTAACAGATAATTAAGTCATTAACACAAAAATAATACAAGACACACTAAATTTATGTACCAAATTTGTGCACTAAATGATGTGGTACTAATTAAATTTGTGCTTTAATACAAGTTGAAATTTGATTAAAACATTATATAGTGTAAAAGCCACTTCATTTGGTGTCTAAATCTAGTGTATGTAGCACCAACCTTAATCATTCTAGTTATAAGTGATTCCATTTATGATTGCCTCTGTCATGAAAGATTTACTTGTATTAAGGAATTCAGGCTAAGTTAAAATAATTGACCACAAAATGTTTAAGAGAAGGAATTACAAATAATGTCCCATGAGTCACAAATAAGTGGGTAAGAAGATGACACAAGTATTGTCTTTCATGCACTCAAGTTTGAACTATTCCATCCCACGTCAGAATTCAAACAAATAAGCGTAGTAAAAAATAGTGTTGTTAATATAGAATGATATTATTCACACATCTCTTTTAACATTTTACACACTCTTTTCAATTTTCAGTTGTTGGATCACATGAATTGAAAAACATGAAAAGACAAAAATTAACATAGAGTCTATGATAGATAAAAAAGAAATAAGAGTAAACTGCAGTGATGGTCCCTCAACTTTAATTAAATTGGAGCAATGGTCCTTAACTAAAAATCCATTACCATTGGTCCCTCAACTCATCAAAATGTGTAGCTACGATCCTTTTTGTTAATTTTGTCAGAATTTTATCAAAATAAGTTATGTTGGAAGGACCATTGCTACAATTGAGGTCCCTCAAATTATCAAAACGTGTAATTACGGTCATTTTCGTCAACTTCTTCATAATTTTGTTAAAATGAGTTATGTTGGAAGGACCATTGCTACAATTGAGTTAAGGTTAAGGGACCATTTCTCCAGTGTTGAGGAACCAATGGTAATGAATTTTTAGTTAATGGATCATAGCTGTACGTTTTGATGAGTTGAGGGATCAATAGTAATGGATTTTTAGTTGATGGACCATTACTCCAATTAAGTTAAAGTTAAGAGATCATTGCTACAATTTACTTAAAAAATAATGTTTGGATAGCATTACTCTTAATATAAGTCCCTATAAATAAGTCATCAACCGTTTCACATATATTTGGGAAGAAGTATCAATAATGTATTTTTTTTTTTGCAGAAATAACTAACACCATATTTGGAGGATAGAAATAAATTTGAAATTTTGACAAAAATTAGAATTTATAAATTAACATGCACTAATTCCTTTGTTCGAATTTATAAACATAGAAATTTCTAATTTCTACAGGAAAAAAACTTAGAATTTGAGACCTCCAACTCTCAAGTTTAAATTATAAATATATGTCATTTCCCAATTTCTATGGGTGGGAGTTTAAAAATAGTAAATTCCGTACAAATCCTATTGTTCTTTTATGTTAATCAAATAAGAAAATTCACAATTTCTAGATAATAAAATCTGTGATTTTAAAATTCTTTATTAATCTTAAATTTTCTCCTACAAATAAAGTGCAAGTGTTTTTTTAGGATTTAAGTGTATTTTTATTAATGATTGATTTCAAAAGCATTTTTATAAAAAACGCTTTCAGTTCTTTTAAGACACATTCAAACACATTTTTTTCTTAGTTCCGCAAAAACTCCGTTCCACATATTTTGGTTTTTATAGAAGATGATGGTAAAGAGATTAAAATTTTAAACTAAATTATCAAACCAAATAATATATTACCAATAAAATATGAGAAATGTTATTGATACTTCAAAAATCTCATTCTACACTTTTCACAAATGTATTTTTCTTTCTAAATATGAAAAATTAAAAGTGTAAAATAAAAATTTTAAAATTCTAATAATAAATTCTTAAAACATAATACGATAATATAATATTTAAATAATAATTTAATCATAATCATCAACGCCCAAAAAACTACAATTTTTTTTTTCTTTGTCTTTTTGGTTTCTCAAGAAATTTCTCGGGGGCGGCTTGCAGCGACTCTGTCTTTTCTTTTCTCTTGAGGAGAAAAGAAAACTAGGGCAGGCGTGGACTTGGGATTCGGCGGATTCGGTGTCCGTCTCTGTATCCGCGGAAGCCAAAATACAATCCAAACCTCGGACAATCCAATTCCAATTTCGATTCCGGGGTCTCCCAATAAATCTCGGGACTAAATAATCCGGTCAATTCTTTACATTTCAACTCATTTCGTTGATTGGCGGCGAGCTTCTACTGTCCTGCGTGCAAAATTCGGATGGGAACTCCGGAATTCCCAGATCTCGGTAGGCATTGCTACGTCGCGGAGTGCCAGCAGATAGATTTCTTGCCCTTCACCTGCGATAGCTGCCATCAGGTCCTCTCTCTCTCTCTCTCTCTCTCTCTCTCTCTCTCTCTCTATAGATATATATATTATCTGTAAATTTCTTACCTCCTCAGCTTATATGAATATCGAATGTGTTTTGTGTTTTGGAAATTTAGATTTTGGTTATTGGGATCGGGATTATGCTCTGTTTGGTTGGTTGATGAGAAGTAGAATTACCCAGATAAAAAAAAAGAAGGAAAATTTCAAATTTTGTTGATTCTTTGGGGGAGATGATTCCACTCTGTTTGGTTGCTGAGAAAAGTAGAAAAAAGGGAAATTTTCAAATTTTGATTATTCTTGGGAGGTAAAGCTTGGAGAAAATGCAAAATGGGTGTGGATGCACATTAGATTGGATTATGAATTTGTATCTCTTGGAAAAAGAAAAGGGTGAAATGCCGGAATAAATTTATCTTATTAAAACTAGAGAGGTTGACAATTTTTGTCTACATTGTCCTGAAACTGGCAATAAATTTCCGATCTTGGCGTTTGCTTGTGTTGAAACTTTTTAACTTTATAGGGTGGTATTTCATTCCTGCACTGTATTTTCTTTTGATATAAATGTTTGTTTCGAACTTGTGTTAAATTGCGGTGCATGATCTTTGGAATTAATTGAATTGCAAATAAGTTACTGAATGTTTACTTATGTGATGTTAAATATCAAGGTGCTAGTGTTTGTGTAGTGGGAATAAATTGATGTCGTAGCTCATGTATATAGATTTGGCTCAAAGGAGTGGTATGTATTGGAGAATAAATGGTGGAAATGTTTTAACATAAGAAACTGATGGTCAAATGTAGTGAAATGTTTTACACCTTCCCGAATGGTGGTGTGATGCGTCACATATACATTGCAGTTTTTCACCAATTTCAAAATGCAATTGATGTATGGCAACCAAAGGTAGTTAGGGGTTGGAATGTTTTCCTAAAGTCTTTATTTCAATTTTTTTTGGGCCCAAAAAAGCCTTAATTACTCGGGTTTATACAATAGCTTAGTCTTCCATCTTTTTTCCATCTTCCATCTTCCCAAATTGTGGATTTATAGTTTACCTGCAATATTTCTGCTTCTTGAATATTAGATTCTTCATACTAACACAAGGCTGACATTATGTAGGTATTTTGTTTGGAGCATAGAAGCTACATTAAGCATAATTGTCCGAACGGTGACAGAAACAATGTTACTGTTGTCATCTGTCCCCTCTGTGCCAAAGGAGTTCACCTGATTCCCGATGAAGATCCAAACATTACTTGGGAGAGACATGTTAACACTGATTGCGACCCTTCTAATTACGAGAAAGCCACAAAGAAGAAAAAATGTCCTGTCCCTGGCTGCAAGGAGGTCTTAACATTCTCCAACACAATCAAGTGCAGGGATTGCACGGTAGACCACTGTTTGAAGCACCGATTTGGACCTGATCACAAGTGTCCTGGACCCAAGAAACCAGAAGCAGGATTTCCCTTTATGGGCTACTTAAGTAGGAGTAGGAAAGAAGTGTCAAAACCAAGTCATGCTCCTGCCGCATCATCCTCGAAGTGGGGTAGCTTTCTTACTGCAGCTTCATCTTTTCGAGCCTCAGCTGAAGCAAGCGTTGCAAAACTGAGTAGCGAACTTAGCCAAAAGTGGGAGATGGCAAAGGATGGAACGGGGCCAAGCAGCAGCAGCAGTGGGAGTAGAAGCGGGCAGGTTGAGGTGTGTCCTCAGTGCGGTGCTAAGTTTCCCTCAGTCACCACACTAGTAGACCATGTAAAAAAGGTCCATGAGAAAGGTGGCAACCGAGCTGCTGGGGTGAAGAAAGTAACAATTGATGCCTGCCCAAAATGTAGCAAAGGATTTCGTGATCCAGTAGCACTTGTAGAGCACGTTGAGAGAGATCACGGTGGTACTTCAAGAGCATAGGTATCATTTTTGGTGAAAGTATTTGTATTTTCTTTTGGATATAAATTTCATGGTTCACATTGACAAATTGCAAATGCATATAGTTTTTAAGCATTCAGACGCACTGTTCGTGTTTTAAGCTGTAAAATTAAAGGACAAAATTGTTTGAGAACACCGAGTACCTATTAACAGTCCAATGAGATTGTGTTATACCTATTCTCTAGAAGCAGACTATTTAGGAACAGAACCAATGTTTCTAAATTTGCTTATACACATCCATGCCCATTTTCTACAATGGTATTGTATGAAATAGGGTTTGGCTTTTGTATTGAAGAAATCAAAGGGAATGAAATGACGTAAGTAAACTTGGGTTTGGGTTAGTAGAAGGAAAAATTGAGCGTGCCAAAATAATTTCTCATATTTCGTTTTGACAAATGATAGAATACTTAGTAAGCTACCTTTATAACAGCATTGCTCATTCTTATTAAAGTTACGCTACCAGAATGGGTTAGCCACAATAAGGCGTCAATATAACCAAATATCCTCGTATTGATCCGTGTCAAACTTGAGACATTCTCTAAGCAAATAAAAGACAATTACTGTCAGACCAAAGGCTAATTAACGAGAACATTAACTTGAGATTTTTGTAGTAATTATTTCCTTCTGCAATATAGTTTCATGACTTGAGCGGTACTTAAAATGAATTTCTAAGCTAGTACGATGGACCAACTTTAGTAATATGGTTACAAACTCGTTATTTATAAAAGTCAAATTTTAAACCCTTCACTTTATTGAACATGAATACCATTAGATCGGTTGAAGAGTTTTCTATGTCAAATTTGAACCATGCTTATAGAACATCAATCTTTTCCCCCTCGTTTTTTTTAAGTCACTACGATGGACCAAATTTAATAATATGACTACAAACTCGTTATTAAAATAAGTTAAATTTTAGACCATTCACTTTTAACTAAATATGAATACCACTAGATCGGTTGACAAGTTGACTTTTATCTTCAAGCCAAGTCAAGTACCATGACCCCCTGATTACATTTTAGTGCGTGCCAGGCGGTTTAATTATGAAAGGGAACGGGCGCTTGAGTGCTTCCATTTGGAAAGAAGGTGGATAATAATCCAACAACTTAATTTAATCCATCCCTTTATGAACAACTTAATTTAATCCATCCCTTGATGATTTTGTTTTATGCTTCATGTCTCAGATTGGATCATTTCTCTACCTTGCTTTGAGGAATAGAAAATTATCAACCTCATAATTGTCCTTTCTCTTCTCTAACAATATTCCTCATCCAACCTCAGCAACTATAGTCTATAAACTACTAACGCTATCTTCATTGTTCCGGCTTAAAATTAAAAGTTATAAAGTCATATTTGACTACAAGTTTGACTTTGAAAGTTACATCACTTCTCATGCACGTTTTGGCTTTTAGCAATTGACTTTTAACTCTTGTGCATTGGAGACGGTTAAGCTCAAACTAAATTTTTGGTTTATTTTTATTTCGAATCATACACTGTCATAACACATACATTTTATTTCATAACATAAAAATCCATAATCCGCTTACTTCTTGTTCTCCTTGTTGATTCCACAAGTGCTCAATAGGATCATTTTTAAGCATATTGTAACATTCACTGCATCTAAATCATCACATGGCGAGCGATAAGTTCCCTCATTGTTATCGGTTCTCGTTACAAATCAACATTTTGTATTTCCTAGCTCGAGTATGAATGATTTTTATATTATGATGAAGCTGAATGGGGTGAATGTACTTTGAATAAAAAGAAATATGTATGCATTTATAGGAGATTTTAGAAATAGTAGTTACTAATTTTCAACAAGATATAGATTATGACAATTTAATACATGCTCGATGCAAATGTTTGAAGGAAAAAATGGCAGCAACTATTTGAAATAATAGTCGTTTAAGCAAGAATTTTTATGGTATATACCATTGAATAAGGAACCCCCTTTTAAGCAAGAATTTTATGATAATAAACATACGGAAAACCCCTTTTAATTTTAGAGTTTAACCTTAATTAAGTATGACTTAACACTTGATTCTAAAGTCATATACAACTTCAAATTTTCCAGTGCGCTCGAAAGCGATCGAATCAAATTTAGAGTCAATTATGTTTTTTGACTCTCGATTTTCTGGTCCATTAGAAATAACCCAAAGCAAAATCTATAACACAAACATGAAAAATATATGAATTTATGAAAAAAATTTATTCGAGCAATATTCTACTCAACTTACTTACACTAAATTTGAGAGTATATAACAGTTAGTCACATAATACCAAGGAATGGAAAAACCATACTACACCAACCTTTTGTTTTTTTCCTTCTTCTATGAAGGTAAGATTTTTACCAAAAAAGAGATGATGAAGAAATTAGGTAAATTAACTGTCAAAATTTCGGTTGACAAAAAAACGGAAAACATTAACTGTCGAGAGAGCAGAGAGCACGTCTATGATCACAGAGCCTCAATATAATGCATCCACGTCAGCATGGACCCCAAAAATCTACCAAACTCCTGGGACCCACAGATTGAACCGTTTAAAACGTGTAGACGTTTTCTGAGTATTGGCACAGCACTGCAGGCTGGACGGATACAATTTAGAGTATAAATTCGAAAAAATAAATAAAAAATAAAAATAAAAAAGAGAAAAGAAAAGAAAAGAAAAGGGAAGAACACATAAGAAATCGAGGTGGAATATGCTGGAATTCCGGTACATTTTCAGCGTGGCAGCATAAGGTGGATTTTCCAGCCTCGGGTCTCCCCCTGCTCGTTGCAGGCGTTCATCGGGGGTAAATTTTGTCGCCACGATTTTGATACAAAAATCGTCGAATTTTGATGCGTTTTTGGGATTTTGGAATACCCTCTTGATTGATTTCGAAAACCCACATTGGGAACTTGTATTGGACGTTGAATTGTTCTTGAATTTTGAGGCTTTGGTTGGACTTTTGAGATTTTGCTAATTGGACACAGGCTGGTTTGTTTGAGAGCTACACATCTTAGTTTTGAGCCTTTCTTTCCCTTCTCTGCATCCAAATTGTGAGCTTTTTCTCATATATTTGGAAGGGAAAGAAAGGCCAATTTCTGAGGTTCCCATTTTTCCTTGTGTCAAATTGTATGCATCTTGTACTCGAAAATGAGCGCTGTTTCGGGGGTGATTTCGCGCCAAGTTTTGCCTGCCTGTGGCAGCCTTTGCTTCTTCTGCCCGGCATTGCGAGCCAGGTCTAGACAGCCGGTTAAGAGGTACAAGAAGCTCATTGCTGATATTTTCCCTCGGAACGAGGTTTGTTCTGCTCTCGTATTTTATCTAGATGGGTTGTTGCTTGCATTTGATTCGTTACTTGTTTCCTAAGATAATTTTACCTTTTGTGAAGAGACTTGTCTGGGACTCTGGATGATAATATAGCCCTCTATATGCCTTTTTGTGGGTTTGGAAAAGTGTGGATGTTATAGTAGATATGTAGTCCATTGCTGGATGATGGACTTCTGCTGTGAAAATGCAACCATTTGACATGACTATCAAAGTAATGATTTTTCCTAAGTGAGCTGAAATTTAGAGGAGCATTCCGTAACTTGCTACCAATCATTACATAGTCTAATTGAGTATATTGACTATTAAGAACCGTCTGAATTTTTTGGGTTTTGACAATCTAAGTTCTTGAACCTTCTCAAATACTATCCTTCCCCTAGACTAAAACATATAAGTGGTACTTGAATTAATTGAAAGATACTCAGGCAATTCATTTTGTTTATACAACTACATTTCTATTTAATACTACATGGAAAAACAGGGTTTAGTGATCTTAGGTCCTTGATTGATTGATGTGCCTGGAAAAATGGACCTTTTGCCAAGTAAAACTTTTATTATGTAACTTCAGATGTAGACAGATATTGAAGTTCGTTATGGCTCTGACAGGTAATTGAAAACTAGGTATCTGCTAGTGTTGCGTGCCATGTGAGACTGAACTTAGAATTATGCGATATGCATCTTTGTCTAGTAAAATTAGTATTTCATGACTTTAGAACATACATGTAAACAAATGTTAAAACCGATTATGACTCTCATAACTGATTTCAAACCTAGTTTCTAGTATTGTTGCCTGCCATTCGAGGCTGAAATGTGGCCTGAAAAGAACTACTTATTTAATAGATTCTTTACTTCATAACACGATTATGTATATCAGTGTAGGAAGTTGTTTACGGCTCTAATTGAAAACAAAGCATTGTGATTGTTGTGTGCCATGTCATTATTAGCTGAAGGCCTTATGCATGATGTGTCGGTGGTGTCCTGTTTGTATTTATTTTTCTTGATAGTTTAATTCTCATACAATGAGGTTCAGGTGGAGTATACAAGAAAAAATTTGTAGCCAGCATTTGCTGATGCAACCAATGCCTTGTAGATGAATTCTTATGTTTTATTTTCTAATAACTTAAAGCCTTTCCCTTACTTCATGCCTTTCAGACTCAGTTAAGAAGAATTTGTTCTTTCTTTGGTTGATAAATACTAGTTGATCAAACCTTTTCTTTCTCATTCGTATAGTTTTTATTCTACTCACCCAAGGGAGCATCCTGTCAGAACAGTATGCAAAAATGTGTGTTTTTGTTACTTCTTTTTGGGTTTTTTCCCTGGTCAGAACACATGTTTCTCTGATTGAAAAATCATGTTAGAAACTATCAAATTAATTTTCCCTGCATTCCGAACTATGCCTGATTTTCTGGCTCTTCAATGAAATATTGTTTCATTAGTTAAGCGTGCTATACCTCAATATTCATGTAAAATATTAAAATGTGGTTTAATTAACGTTGATTATGAAGTTTTAACATCAATGCAATCACTTTCCTAGTGAGTGATGTGCTCGTTTTCCTTTCATTCCCTTCCCCCTAAATTGTGTGTATGCGATATCAAGATTCAGGACATAATCTTTACATTTTGACAGGAAGAGGGACCCAATGATCGGAAGATTGGGAAGTTGTGCGAATATGTTGCCAAAAATCCTTTGCGAATCCCAAAGGTATCAATTATAATGTGTCTTAAGCTAGGTCCATTTTTACAATCACATGTTTCACCAATATATATAATTTTATAACCTTATTTGAGGGATCCCAACATAACCTTATCTGAGGGATACCTTGTGCAGCACACTCTGGATTTTTAATCGATGATTTGAACCCTATCTTTTAGTTCTTCATTCAAAGGTCATCCATGCAAAAAAATTATACAAAACAGCTACCACTAAAGACATCTATTTGTCTCAAAGAAAATAGACCAACATGGTATTCCAAGAAGACACTAATTGAGTGGTTAGTGGTTTCAAATTTGAGTGATTTATGCAAGGACAATCTTTGAGTGAAGACCTAAAACAAGAGGGTCGGATCATCAAAATACAAGGGGAGCGGGCCCTACAAGTTTTCCCCCAAATAAGTTTAAGGATCCCTCAAGAAGCTTCCTCCATATATTCTCATCATATGTAACATAATTCATAATAAAAACAAAAAACGATTATATCATAAATTAATTGATAATTGTTTAAAGGAGAGGGAAGAAAACATTGGGAAATAAGTTGACCAAAAGAGTTGAGAGAAAAGAATGGATGTAGTTATTAGTAAGTCATACAATGTGTGAAATGATGATGTGAATTTCTGACCCTTCTAATAGGTTTCTCAAATCAATTTCTGATGTTGAATTTCAGCTATGGTTCAATGATTCAATCTTCTTATAGTTTTCCTAATTTTTCTGATGGGAGTTACCAATGGAATCAAACCTTTTCCTTGCACCACGAATATGTGACATGCTTCACTATGTGATTATTTGTCAATAAATATTCAGCCTTCCTTGCTTCCTTTTTCTACGAAGTGAAACATCTTTCGTATTACAGTATTTTTCAGGAGTTGCATCTTAAAGATTTTTGTGAAATACAGACAATGTTAAATATTCTCTCTTTTCCAACCAAATTTGAATATTTGGGGAGCAGATTACAACTTATCTTGAGCAAAGGTGCTACAAAGAATTGAGGAACGAGAACTTTCGATCCGCAAAAATTGTAATGTGCATTTACAACAAATTGCTGATTTCTTGTAAGGAGCAAATGTGAGTTCTTCCTTCTCTAATTTTTTTGTTCCATTATCTCTCTCTCTCTCTCTCTCTCTACACACACACACACACACACAGAGTGTGATTCTTGAATGAGACCCCACACTTTTCAAATTGCAGTATTGACCATTCAAACAGAGTGAAAATTTGCTTTTAAGATGGTCTCATTTAGGGCTTAGAGTTGAGCTTTAAGGTCCAAACTTTAAGCAACACTTCAGACCCTAGTATCTGATTCTGTGAATTCAGACTATTCAGTTGGAATGATATGTTTGAATATGAGGTAGTGATCCACATTCTGGCAACGTATAACATTGCAGAAATCTACCAACAATAACCTCTCTCTCTCTCTCTCTCTCTACACACACACGCTTAAGCTCTCTGTTTATTTGTGCTTGTGGGTCTATATGTGTAAAATATGTAAATGCATATATTTGTGTGTGCGATTACATGGTTAATTTATGTCAGTGACATTTTCCTAGGCCTCTTTTTGCAAGTAGCTTGCTCAGCATTATGCATACACTTCTGGATCAAACACGGCAAGATGAAATGCAAATTATAGGATGTCAGACTCTTTTCATCTTTGTAAATAATCAGGTTTGTGAATTTGTGGTTTATAGACTTCTTCACTTTTAATTTGTCACCAGCCAGGTTGGCTAGAGAAAATTTGAAATCTAATCAGTCTCTCTGTATTTTGCAGACAGATGGAACTTACACGTTCAACTTAGAAGGCTTTATTCCAAAACTCTGTCAGATAGCTCAAGAGCCGGGGGAAGATGAAAGGGCAAGTAATCTACGTTCAGCTGCACTCCAAGGCCTTTCTTCAATGGTACCCTTTTCATATTGTTTCTGTTATAAATTTAACTCTACACCTTAGCAATATGTGAAATCCAAAATTTAAAATGAAACATGCTATGGGAGATGCTTATTACACTTTGGTTGGATCTTTCTTTCTTTTCTTTTTTTTTTTTTTTTCTGTCCCCTTTACCATGACTGATATACTTTTCTATATTCTGTGCCTGATGAAGCTCTTAAAAATGAAATAATATGATATCTCTGTTGGAAATTTATGCCATTCACAACATGTTTGCTCAATGCTCAGAACCTATATCTCTAATGCAAACTGAGTTTTCTAAATTTTATTTTGTAGGTTTGGTTTATGGGTGAGAACTCTCATATATCAGTTGAGTTCGATAGCGTAAGTACATTCGAAGTTTCTTAAATCTTGTTCCAAACTTTCAAGTAATCTTTGTATAGTTCTAGTTGATTATGTGAAGATAATTTTTTGGATCACCCTCAATAATAAATTGAAATCTATGCTTTAAAATTTTGCATTAACTATCAACTATTAACACCTGCTGGACCTTTCGATAATCATTTCATTTTTAGTTGTTAGCTTTCATCTTTTGTGCTTGTGATATGAGGAAAGTTGTGGGGAGAAAGGAGGGATGGAGAAGGGTGGGTAAGAAATAAAGTACAATGAATGAAAATAAAATCTTGTACGGAGAACAACTTAAAATAGTTTTTGGTTTTGGTTTTTAGGTTTCACTTTGTGTACCTTCCCTTATACATCTCTCCCACCATCCTTCCTCCACTTCTGCATCCCACCTTATCCCCATATACTTTTCCTATATCTCATGCACACAAAGAGAAAATTAAAACTAAAAATGAAATGGTTACCGGACGGGCCTTAAGTTGTTCCCATTTTCTTTTCAGTCTTTCAGACGGTTAAAATCTTTTACCTGCTAGAGTATCATTTTATAATTATGAACTTATGAGCCATGACTAGCCTAGGGCTCCATTTTGATTGCCAATTTCAAATATGAGGGATTGTCAACTTTCACTACCCATTTCAGTTAATGTTAAAGGTTGAATTGAATAAATATACAATACAACAACAATAACAACAACAACAACAAAGCCTTATCCCACTAAGTGGGGTTGGCTGTATGAATCCTAGAAAGCCACTGCACTCGATTTTGCGCCAAGTCTTCCGTTAGCTCCAAGTGATTGAATATATGACAGCAATGTGAAAAAAAAAAAACATGTACTGCAAAAATAAATTAAATACATATTTCGAACATTCACTATAACGAATGATATTAAAATGCTAATATTGCATTCAGTCTAATAATTCATATAGATCTGAAAAGTCTTGCTGATGCAGTAACGAGTAACCCTAACAAGTACGCTAAAAATCTTGGAATCCTTATAGATCAAAGAAAGATAGCTGGATTAAAACTCTTGTATGTGGTTGTTCTCTACAGTTGTTTTTCACAAAGTGCTGATGGATATGATGCGACTCAGTCTTCTAACCTTTTTACTGTTGTCTAAATTTTGCATATCCAATCTGAAAATGCTTTAGATTATTAATTAAGATCACATCAGAAAATGATTATTTGCTGAACTGTGTTCCTCTGGTTACAATTAGCAGAGAGTATGCAAATAAACTACGGAGAGAGAGCAAATCCAATTAAAATAGGACAAAAAATTGATCTCAGAGAGTATAGATTTTAAACTAGTGTGGTTATTTTAATATTCCTCCATCTTTAGTGGAAAGTGACTAACTTTTCCTTCTTTCTTTTAATTAACTTTATTGAAAGCTACAATTATGTGTAAGTGCTGCATTGGTTTTTCGGTTTTAAGATTGTGTTACTCTTCACTCATTTACTCCTCAAAGTCATTCTTATGAAGCAGCTAGAACAAATGCTACCTTAAATCCTCTTGACATTGTTCTTTTTCCCTATTAATATACAGATTGTTGCAGTTGTCTTAGAAAATTATGGAGGCTCAAATAAAACTACAGGAGAACCTTGAAGGCTCAAAGAATCGGTGGGTGCAGGAAGTGCAAAGTAACGAGGGTCATGGTTCTTCTTCCCCAAATGTCACCATCAGGCTTACATCTTGGAGCACCCTTGTGGATGACAAAGGCGAACTAAATGTGACAGTGTATGTCTCTGTTGGCACAAGATTTTGTTGATGGCTTTACATGTTTGTCAACATGTCAGTTCATTTCAATTAGTAATGTTTGTTTTCTTATGCTATAGGGAAGATGCCAAGAACCCCTGCTTTTGGTCTAGGGTTTGCCTGCACAACATGGCCAAGCTAGCCAAGGAGGCTACAACAATCAGACGTGTCTTGGAATCTCTGTTCCGTTACTTCGACACAGGGAACTTATGGTCTCCCAAATATGGTCTTGCTATCCCAGTCCTAAAGGATATACAAGTTTTAATGGATGATTGTGGTATTTAACTTTACCTTCGGTTTACATCATCTTTGGTCCTGTCAGATGTTTCAACCACAAAGGCTCTTCTATTGATGACTTATCCAGCCTTTTGATCTTTGCTTGTTGCAGGGCAAAGTACACATATTTTGCTTTCCATTCTAATCAAGCATTTGGATCACAAAAATGTCCTCAAACAACCCAACATGCAGCTCGAAATAGCGGAGGTTACCACCACTCTTTCTCAACTTGCCAAGGTTGAGCCCTCTGTGGCAATAATTGGTGCAGTAAGTGATGCCATGAGGCATTTGAGGAAGAGCATTCACTGCTCGCTTGATGATGCTAATCTGGGAACAGATGTAACAAAATGGAACAGAAGCTTTAGAGAAGCGGTGGATAAGTGCCTTGTACAGTTATGTTATAAGGTGCTACTCATTTACTACAGTTACTGAATGAACTTTGCGCCTACAAATCCACTATCACGAATTTTCTTGAGTTAGATTGCTACTTGTAGTGTTAGTTCTTATCATGGAAAATAGTTTAGTGAGTCTACAAGTTTTTATAGGTTCAGATTTCACTTGTTATCCAAGACTTAATCAAATGTACAACAACTAAGCTGTCATTGTTGAACAGGTTGGAGAACCAGGACCAATCCTTGATGCTATGGCTGTTATGTTGGAAAATATCTCGACTATTACAGTTATAGCCAGAAATACAATCTCTGCTGTTTATCGTACCGCTCAAATTGTAGCTTCCTTACCAAATTTGTCCTATCAAAACAAGGCAAGTAGTATAACTTTGTTCTTGTAAAATATGTGATTCTTTCTGTCTTATAAAGAGTTTTTTCTTATAAAGAGTTTTTAATTATTTGTTTTGTGCTCTTTTGATAGGCTTTCCCTGAGGCATTGTTTCATCAATTACTGCCAGCTATGGTCCATCCAGACCATGAAACACGTGTTGGAGCACATCGCATCTTCTCTGTTGTTCTTGTGCCATCTTCAGTTTGTCCTAGTCGATCCTCACCTAATACCGAGTCAAAAAAGGCATTGAATTTTCCCAGGACACTCTCAAGAACTGTATCTGTCTTTTCTTCTTCAGCTGCCCTCTTTGAGAAGCTGAGGAGAGAGAAAATTTCTTCACGAGAAAGTATTTGTGAAGAGGACAATGAAAATACAGGTAATGAGGGGGAACAAAGAGATACCAATAATGGGATTCTGAGCAGATTGAGGTCTTCTTATAGTCGGTCATATAGCATAAAAAGTTCTCCTGCACCTTCAGCAACAAAAGAAAATTCTGTCAACAGTTCGACTAAGGAACCTGTGAGTTTTTAAAATTGTTTCTTTATTCTTTTTCTGGAATAATTATGAAATTCATTACATCTCCAATATGCTTGTCTAGTTTATCGTTGGTGATTTCTTTTTTAGTGCTTGCCTCATTGATGCATCCATTCACAGACCTATAATCGCTTACCCATTTGCTTGTTTTGGTAATGAGTCCTCTATATTAGGTGGGGCATAAATTATACTTTAAATCGAAATACAGGGCAGTCACTTGGTATAAGTTTTGTCTATATACTAATTATGTTAGTGGTTTCACTTTCGTCTCTATTTAGTTATGTACTTGACTAAGCAATAGTTGAATTCCTTGGTTTTGGTTGGGTAAGGTTCAGCTTCCAAATCACTTGCCACAAATATATTTTTATTTGTTGTGGTTTGACTGCATGGGACTTGATTAGTTGAATGCCTGGATTTTAGCTGGACTAGGGTCCAAGCTTCAGCGTGTAATTTCTCGTGGGTATCAAATCCGGCTTTGTTCATAGTGCATCGCCTTTTTTCACTAGATGAAAGGTCTCCAAACGTTCAGCACAATGAATTTCTGAAAACTAGTTAAGATTTGGTTTATAATTTTTTCTTTGAAATACTTTGTAGACCCATTGGGTTTTCAGAGGATTTTCAGTTTGAAACTAAAACATGAGATTCGACAATTGCCTAAAATGCTACCAAGTTTCTAGTTCCAAAGGGTTTTCAGTTTGAAACCTCCACTACTCATTCCTCACTTCTATGTTTATTTGCAAGATGTAGCATGGATCTTCAGCCATATTGTTCTTTCTGCCTCCATATGTTTTCCTCCCTCCCGGAGGTTGTTAGTTTTATTTACATTGTTGGCATATTCCATAATAATTTAGACTTATGGAGTTCAGTAGTTGTCTAACAACATTGATTTGGTTATGAATGACTGATTCCATTTGTTAAACCTTAGGAAGCTAATTCCCTCAGATTGAGCAGCCACCAGATAACTCTATTGCTTTTATCAATTTGGGCGCAATCCATCTCTCCTGGGAACATGCCGGAAAACTATGAAGCAATTGCTCATACGCTTAGCCTTGTAGTACTGTTTTCTCAGGCCAAGGTAATTGTTGGGTTGATGTTACTTGATTAGTCTTTTCTATTATATATGCTGGTGATGTTTTATATAGTTTCTTTTCTTTTGGGATAGGACTTTCATTTTGATGGTATCCCATATTGATAGCATGTTTACCCCATATCTTCTTAGTGCTTAAGAAGTTTTTGAAATTAATTTCTTTCAAGCGGGGGAACTTGATGATGACTAAGCATCCTATGTCCTATCTGAAGCCACTTTTAGCTAGAACTGTAATTAACATGTTAGCAATTACTTAGTTCAGTCTTCTAATATTAAGAGCCTTTTTTACTTCTTCAGAGAGCCAATGGATTCGTTAACTTTGCCAATACATTATTTCCTCCCGAACTTGCTTAGGCACTAGTGAAGGTTGATTTATCTTCCCTATGACTTCAAACCGTATGAGTTGGACCTGGGACCGTTGGAGTAGCTTTGGTTATTATGTAATTTAACTAGGTTGAAAATGGAAATGATCACTTAATTTCTATGTCCCTCAATCGTCATCCTAGTTCCTTGCTGGTTTGAAGATCAAGACATTGTATTAATCTTTTGTAACTGCTGCTAACTGCTTTATAAGCTTCTCAGTTCACTTCCCACCTTCTAGGTCGTTGTGTTATGTAATTTGAGGGTAATGTCACCATGGGCAAACTGTGACTCTAAAATATATGGAGAATTCAGAATTTTGAAGGGATGACTTGGAGAACTTTTGCCAGTTGTGTACCCACATAGTGGCACTATTTATTGTTTCATTCCTTTGTCTTTGTTGCTTTTATGGTCCCATTTTCTCTTTTCTTATTATTGTTTATTGTTTGTTGTAGAATTCCAGAATTGAGGTTCTTGTTCGAAGTTTTCAACTGGCATTTTCCTTGCGGAACATCTCTCTTAATGAAGGAGGTGAACCAGGCAGTCTGTCCAAACTAATGAGCATATGCTCTATGCATGCGTTTTCATTTGTGATATAATTGTCCATTATTTCATTTGCTAATATTAAATATAAATTAGATAGAGAAGAAAACACGAGAAAATTTATCTAAATTAAAACCTTCACACTAAAGAGATAGATGTATAAACGAAGTAAAATCTTGGTTAAGTAATAGACTGGATAATCAATAATTTATTTGTTAGGATGTCATATCAAGCACTTTCCCCCTTTCTTTTCAGGGCCGCTCCCACCATCCCGTCGCAGGTCCCTTTTTACCCTTGCAACTTCAATGATTCTCTTTCTATCAAAAGCATACAATATTGTTTCTCTTGTTCGTAGAGCCAAGGCGGTACTTGTGGATAAAATAGTAAGTTTCTTTTTTTCAGGTGAAGTTTATTCACGTAGGTTGCCTCTTTTTGATTTCCAGTGGTCTCATAAGCTCCAGATTCTCTTTAATAACTACTTACTTATGCATGCGACTTCTTGCTTAAACTTATCAATTTTAAGGACATGAATGACACGAAGAAAGTGAACCATGTACTGGCATATTTTTATGTGAGATTTCCATAATCAAACGTCTCTAGTCAAACCTAAAATAGCTTTGACACCTTTATATTCTTAATCAGGTTGATCCGTTCCTGCATTTGGTTGAAGATCGCAAGTTACAGGCTGTCAAGACTGGACCGGACCATCCCAGACATCTTTATGGATCTGAAGAAGATGATAATATGGCATTAAAATCTCTATCAGAGATAAATATTACTGAAGAGCAAACCAAGGAATTTTTTGCTTCTGAAGTTGTGAAGAGCTTGGAAAGATTGTTAGATGTAAGCTTTTATACTAATTTTAAGCATTTTGGATTCATAGTAAAAGGAAGAGAAATCATTTGTGCTATACCATGGATAATGAATAGCGAGCTATTTATGCAGGCTGAAATGTCTACTATAAGGGAGGAGCTGCTCAGTGAATTCTTACCTGATGATGTGTGTCCACTGGGAGCCCAGTTGTGTATGGATGCCCCGCAAAAGTTGTATCAGGTTGATTCAAGAGACAGTAAATCTATGAAAGAGGTAATTACCCTTCATAGCTGTCACTTTTGTTTTTGTTTTTTTGGTTACTAGATCCTATGTCTCTGCGAGGGTGTGGCACCTAAAACATAAGCGTTGGGAGGGATGAAACGAGGGTACTTATTATCACACCATACTTTGGGGTGGCCAACATCAAGTTTTCTCTTAATGCTTAGGCCTCATGATTTTATTCTTGTAATGCAGGATGCTCCAATATTTTCATTGGACGATGATTCTTTTCAAGGTTCATTTGATAGCCAAAAGAACAACTTGGATTTTTCTGCAGAGTCTCACAATCTTTTGAGTGTCAGTCAACTTATTGAATCAGTACGTTAGTCACTACATGTTGTACATTTAGTTTTATGGCATTTAAAGAAAAAGCCTTCTGTTTGTTCACTAGCAAGATTCAGAGAGAGATAGGTGTTCACCACTACAAGGTTTTTTCATGCGCCCAGGTCCTGGAGACAGCACATCAAGTTGGAAGAGTATCGGTCTCAAATGCACCTGACGTGCCATACAAGGAAATGGCCGGCCACTGTGAGGCACTCCTGTTCGGAAAGCAGCAAAAGATGTCAAATTTGATGAGTTCCCAACCAAAGCAGGAATATTTGATGAATCAGTCTTTCCAAAATCACAGTGATGATGCCAAATGGATGACATCCGACTTCCATGTTGGCTTCGGCTCACATAGGGTACTGCTTTCTGGCTATAACCTAAATTAATCATACTTAATTCAGTGTACATAGTAATTTACGCATACCGTGCACATGCTCTGGCTGGCATCTTCAATCTAAAATTGTGAATTTGAATGACAATGCAGAGCGGAAATCCATTTGTTGACGACACTGCGAATTCATACAAACCATCCCCTCGCGCAGGCCATGCCCCGATGATGTGTGTAACCGAATACCAGCATCATCCGCACTCTTCAGACTACCAGCGTCGAGTCCGTATGATAACTTCCTAAAAGCTGCAGGTTGCTGATTCTATACTAGTGATGAAAGAAAATTATTGGTAATCCAGCGAATTTAAAAAGCTCAAGGGCTACCAGCTTTAACCATATTGTTTTATTTTTCACTTTTAGCTTTTAACTTTTTCATTTAGGCTTTGTAACTTGAGGAAGAGATTGCTGTCATCAAATATCGGCTAAGTTTTTCATTTCCAATTTTTTCATTCTTTTCCTTTTCCAATTACACTAATTCAATGTTTTTTATGTATAAAAGTTAAAAATTATTTGTTACTGTATAGCTTCATGTGAATTGCAAGTTTCACTTGGTTTTATTTGGAACATTTCCAATTTTCTTACTAAATTGTATGAGATTGGCTTGAATTGGACTAATTCTAGGGATTGAGCTGGATAGGCTTGTCTTGGACTTAATCATATCCTATATTTGGAGTGTATCAAGACCAAGGGGCTTGGATAATATTTTATAATACTATTCTATGTTTGGAAGTAGAGATGAATTGCATCGATTCAAATATAAATTATTTTCAGAACTATGTGATGAACCTTTATATTTATTTCAAAAACCAAAAATATCAATTTGATCATTTGGATAAAAAAATGTTCTTGCCAGAAACGAATTCCACACAATCATAGAATTAACGAGGTATTCTTGCAACCAAGAAATGAATATACATGTTAGACCTTGTATGGTTGAAAGTGTGAGTGAAAAGCTCTCTGGTGCCTAAATTAGACTAGTGGACAGAATGAATATGAAAGCTCTAGTGTTTTTGGAGGACAAATTAGCTTTTCATGGTTGAGGAGGGCCATATCTATATAGTGGCAAGTCTAAACTTGAAGGTGATCCATTAGGCCACTTGTGGCGTCCTATAATTAACTTGTTTATGACTTGTTATCACTCCCATTAAATCATTTAGTCGTTTGACTTCAGAAAACGTGAAAGGCACCTATTAAGAGTCTCGATTAAGGAGACTTCTTAATCGCGTCAAATTTCATGACCTATAACCGAGCCATGATTGTAGGGATTTTTATCCACAGGCCACAATTGTAGGGATTTTTATCCCGTTGTTGGCACTGTAAGTTAATTCCTTATCTAGCGAGAGCGACACACATGGACACGTTAAGAGCCACATTACACCAGATTGTGGAGAGGATATGCGTTGACGAGCCGAAGGTTGATGCTTAGTGAAGTAAGGAAAGAATGGTATTGTATTTATTTTGTAATTTTATTTATTTAGTACAAAGATATTATTAGTGGGTTAAATAACTAGATAATCGGTGATAATGAAACTTACACCACAATGATTGCTTTCTGTCATTGTGATCATCTGCATATATATTTTCATATTAATAGGCCAATTGCATGTAGCAAGAGGCTACTAGATATAAAAAGTCGCCACCCTAAAATGGCGAAACTTTCATATACCAATAATCCCCCTCCCTTCAACTCTTGAAAATAATAATTTAATAAGAAGAGAAAATAGTAAAAATGCCCCATCCCACGTTTTTTTTCTCCACGTATGGAAGTAGTTTTGCTGACCTTTTCTTCTGAATTTTTTTTAATCACATATTTTAAATTTAAAAAAAAAAATCAAAGAGCAAATTGCATGGCAATAGGCTAGTATATATTTAAAAATGAAGTATCCCCGAGACTTATTCCGCTTAAACAGAAACAGCAAAACCCTAGGAGGTAGAAGCCTATTGGATTGCTTTCATGGATTCTCAGCCAAAGCCAGTCTACTACATTTGTGGAAGTATTGATTTTCCTTTTTCTTTCTTCTTCTTCTTCTTCTTCTTCTTCTTCTTCTTCTTCTTCTTCTTCTTCTTCATGAGGAAATACAAAAGAATTTCCGATATTGAGTTATTGACTATGTTGTTGTTGCAGAATGTGGGTTGGAGGTTCAGTTGAAGCCCAACGACTCGATGCAGTGCCGCGACTGCGGTTACCATATCTTATACAAGAAGCGTGCTCGTCGTAGTAAGTCCCTATACTTGTTCTCTACATATTTTACCAAATCCCATCCACTAATTGTTATAATATTTGATTTCCCAGTAACTTATTTTTATTAGGGTTTGCGTCTTCGTAGTATGACATTAATTCTAGTTTGTTGCAAAAAGTGGACATGGTTTTGCGTCCGCAATCCGTGTTTGTTCACTGTCAGCATTTAGTCAAACTTACTCTGTGATCGAACGTTAGAACTCAAGGAGTATTTATCAATAATTGCTAAAATTTAACACCTAATTTCATAAATGTCATTTTTTTATAAAATCTTTCAAATATATCAAAAAACTCACTTAAATAGACGTAAATATCCTCAAAATGAAAACCAAATAAATATAGGTGGCAAAACCATCACTCCCATTGTTGAGAGCAGCATTTTCGCACTCACCCTATTGTTTAGTTTTGATTGGTTTGTGAGGTTTGGAATAATTCAGAACTTGCTAATCGGAATTATAGATTAATTAGATTTGTGGGTAATCGAAGCAAGAATTAAATTGGAACGATCCTCTTGTGAAAACTGTTATTGTTTTATCTCTTTTCTCCAGCAAATTTAAGAGAAATTCGTAAGCATAATTAAATTGAAATTTGATTTCAATGAGTTAGAAACCTCAACTAATATCATGTTTGCTAAGATGATTGTACAAAGCATATTCCACTGAGACGATATTGCATCAACGGTAGCAATTGAATTTCAGCCATGAGCGGCAAATTTTCAAGTATGTACTCAATTAGTTGACTATTGAACAACACCCGCAACTGCTCCACGATATTTACCAACTTCCCTCACCACCTCGCACTTTTTACAATGGTCTAGAGTAGCTCTATTCAAGTGTTTTGGATTTCATGGGTATTTAGGTCTATTCACATGAATTTTTTGCTATATTTGAAAGTTTTTATAAAATGTGACATTTATGAAATTGGGTGTTCAATTTTAGTCACTATTGATAAATACTCAAACTCGAGTAGCTTTATTGGTGAATCCTTCCAGTTATGTGCTTGACTACTTTGATCCAATACGCCCAATTTAGGTTCAATCAGGTGTCATTGTCTTATTGTTATTTTCTCAATTTTCACTAGGTTTTTATTAAAACTTAAAAACTTGGTCCAATTCACTCTGTGTTCGTCTGCTGCTATCCTTTCATTATAGGATGGTGAAATGCTTTAAGTTTCATACGTCCTTTATCTTTAGTAATTAGTAGCTATTATCTTTGCAGTAATAATCACAAGGCCTATTACACCACAGGAACGGAAATTACTTGTAAGTTAAGCGATAGGCGGCACTGTAGGAAATAGTTATACTGGTGCCAGATGGTGATATTGACCATGGTAAAATAAGCTTTCAGTTAGTTTTTCGAGTTCTGGCTTAATATGGGTTTATGTGCACTTAACCGATGGTGGTTAGCCCACACCAAGATGAACCAATATTACTATCTGATCACCGAACTTAATCAGCGAGAATACCAAATCAAAGTCCGGTAAAGCGTTGCACATGATTTGAATTTTGTTGAACTATCTGCTGTTCTCGCTAGCCTTTTGATAGCATGTAACTTGTGAGTCCAACGTTCCTACTGTTGGTGTTGTGTGTGCTTGTGTGTATGCCGTTTGCCTTCTTTCTTAATCTTACCTAATCTTTGGATCGTAACCTTCTATTTGAATCCAGTGGTTGCAAAATAATTTAATTTATTTTTAATATTTTAAGCTAAACAAAATGATAAGAATTATGCCTTTATTGTGCTAAACTTTTTTGCCTCAATTTTCTATGATGACTTCTCCTTCTCCCTCTTCTCCTTCTCCCTCTTATCCTTCTTCTCTCTTTTCATTCTCCTCGAACCCTACAAGGAAGAACAAGCCAAATGACATGTTAAGAAACCTTTGAATCTTGGCATATAAAGATAAGCTGTTGTTTGTATTAAATGGAAACATAAAATTGGTGGTTATGGTTGCCCAATCATCTATTGTTCTCTATATGGCAATATTCAGAGATTGATAACGAATCATGGTTGTTTCTGTAGTTATTCAGCTTGAGGCGCGCTGAAGAAACGCACGCGGAGCTCTCGGCATGGCAGCAGATGACGTGAAACGAAGATGTCGCTTAATTAGGCCCCCTTCTTTCAATAACGAGACTTTACTCCGGCGGTGTAATCTGGTTTAACAAACGCAACCTTAGTGGCATAACAAGCGCACATATTGATGGGTAAATATAACGTTTGACAACGATTTGAACATCGAGACGTCTCTTTGGAGCATTTAACTGAGATATGGTTTGATAAATATTCAATTTCTTTCAAAGATTCTCAATTTTGGTTTCTAATTCATTTTTTTACGCCCCCATTTTCTCCCCCTATACATTCTTCTTTTCTAATCTTTAGGTTGAATAATTCAAAGTAGAATCGACAGTAGTGTACAAAAGATGAAAATGGGCTTGTGAAAATCATTTTCCGAATTCAATTTTGTTGGCCCTCACCAAACAAATGTACTCGGTGGCATTCAGCCGAAACCTTATAGGGTCACTGAAAAACTGCAGAATATTATTAGTAGCTCCACTATGAACACTGGAGTTTGGTATCAGACGTAAACTCAAGATGTGAAGCACGCTACACCTTGCTGCATCCTCGACGGTTGGGGGAGTTGTGAGGTTGGGGATGGAAAGTTAAAATGGTAACATGCTTGTTTAAACCATCAACTATAAACAGACTTAAAACTACAAATAGCAGAGACGACTATATATGTACAAACTCGCATAATCATATTGATGGACTGGCCCTCTACCGGTTTTCACTTGTGTTCGTCATGATACATATTGATTGTTCTTGTTTATATTCCTTTTAGACATGGATCGGAAGAGAAAGTGGAAGATTGTGATAACTCTAATTGCAATAGAGTTAGAAAGAAACGACATTTCTGTGCGTCAATGATATTGTTAGCTGTCATATATGCTATCACGACCTAGTACTGTGAAAAGTTATCTTAAAAATCGTACTCTTTCTAGATAGATACTCGTCTGAGAGTGATAGATTGATTTATAAATCATAGTGATATGACGTGTGTGAACGAGCTCTGAATGTATAGAAGAACCTTCGGTATATTGTGTGAGTTGCTTCGCACTCGTGGAAGGTTGAGGATGTATGGTTCAGTATCTATAAAAGAGTAAGTTTGTATTTTTCTACACATTCTTCCCATCATGTAAATAATTGTTGAAGTTGCATTTTTAGGACTGTTATAATCTCTAGTTGGATTTTTAAGAATTTTAAGACCGAAGCCTCGACATGTGATCTGTAG